ACATAACCCATACTTTATGGTCGAATAGTTCTGTGGCAACTAACTTCGGTTCACTAATTGAACGGCATACACGCCTGTTACGAACTGCGTTCAACAGGTCGTTCAAGAACAAGTTAGGAGGATCAGAAGGAACGGTAGACGAAGAAAGCCGAGTACTGGGAATACCGGAGGAGCGTCGACTTACGTTCAGTACACATAACCATAACGAGGGCAAATCGGATAAAGCATATGGCTGATACATTACGTCAAAAAGGTGACCTGTGTCTAGCGATTTTGTTCCTTTCAGTCTAGTTGTTTCTGACTCTCTCAGTCCTTCCCACTGGATCATCAGCTCCATACCTTCCCTTTGCATGAGGGTACTGCTTTCGAGGGAACCCATGACCTGGTTTAAATGCAAGCTTGCAACGACCACGCACTTGTCATAGTCAGCAATCTTCGGTTCATCCATTTGAATCGCCAGCAAACAACCGGTTCTGAAAAAATATGCAGCAGCAGATCATGTTTGTCAACTACGGATGCACCGGTCCTAATCTAAGCCAGCACCGAATGTCCGCTTTTCATCAGATACTCATCGACCGACGTTCCCATTTTCGTACCGTCATAAACATCTCATCGAATTGTGTAATGCGTCTGGCTTCGAACAGCAAAGCATCGTAAGACTTGCAATTCAGCAGCTTACGGTTTGGACCCATAAACTTTACCTTCCTTTCTTCTACCAGGTGTGGCTACGAGAGCAGTAATCAAACATGGCGCGTTAACGTACAAAACTAAAGAGTAGAAATTCGCATTTCTCTGAAACTCACCGCTGTTACAGCCTCAAGACGATGCAACGAGCAACAGCCGTGCTTCAAGAGTATGTGGCTATAAATCTGCACAACGTCATGCACAGAGGAACACTTCTTCCTAAAAAACTGTAAAAACGACCAAAAACTACTGAACACCAACAACAGCAAGAACACAGCAGCAATTGCAATAACACACAGTTACTTATCGGAAGGGAATTCTAATTCAACATACTTCACTATGTAACACAACTCCGCGGAATGCCTCCACGAACCAATTACATCTTTCACGTTGACCTCAAGACCGCATCTACGAACTAGGCAGTTTGCGAACGCGCAGGTCACAGATAACGCTAGAGAAAATCGGACTTAGATGCCTTGAGGACCTGCGCATACAGTTGCGTTTATCGCCAAATAAGTACAAGTCTGCCGTCACAAACCAACATGATTTACATAATAGAGAACTGGCAAGTAACAGTGTAAGATTTCCTATGTTTAACGCTCTTACTAATGATAACTACCGCAGTATTATTTATTTACACATAATCACGTCGAAGGACGAAGCAAATACCTAAAATAAAATAAGGAAAACAGTGGCGATATATTTCGGTTTCCAAGTAGAAATGAACTCCTGCCTTCTCGCGGTAAACCATCTAACAGCTAGACACCACGCGGCTAACATGAGCACGGGTATTAGTGGCGATATAACCTTCATCAGGTTTCGTCACTTCTTTGAGTCCCATTTTTTCACGTTAAATGCTAATTCTCCAGAGGCTTCTTTTTGATAGATTTAAACCTTGCCCAAGACTTAACAGGAAATGCATGCATAATTCATATATTTGTCTTAACTACAGCAACTTACATAGCAGTACGCTAATCTTCGATATCAGAACGTGCTACGATGGTTGCAAAATGAAACCCTCAACACTCATCGAAGGACTGGTCAAACCGGTTAGTCATTAGGTAAATTTTCGATGGCCGCTTATCGTTTAGGGCCAGAGAGGTGGCAGCCTTTGACAGAGTCCGAAATTTTCATGGTCTGAGTTTCAA